AATGGAATGATATTTTCTGGTGAACATTATGAAGAAGACATAAATGTCAACACAGCTCAGAGCTCTTTTTATCAGATCTCGTCAATATGTAATTAATTATTCATCTGGAGTTCTGTGTGGCTCAGGGCAGGATTTCAGAGAGCTTGTCATTTGCAAAATTGCATAGTCATCACAAGATTGCTTGTTTTTTGCTTTTACAAATAACATGGACATAACTGATCAGCGGCATCTGGTTAGATGATGCGTACAACTGAATGGTAAAGTTAACAACAATAGCCTTTAAATATAGCAAATGCTTTTAAAATGTTACAAAATTCTATCCACCTTCAAAATGCTCATGTTTCTTGTTCAAGTGAGACTGTACGGGGGGGAGGGGTGTAAGGATGTCAAACAAAGTGATTTATACCCTTATTTCCTTGTGTTAGTGCTGAAAGAGGATGTTTGCTTCATTAACTTAGTAATTCACTGCTACAATAAACTAAATATTTGAGAGAATTTAAGTGAGAATGGCCCCAAGTTTTGACAAATTACTACTGAATATTTTAATCTTTCTTATATTGAAAGAACTAGATATGATACATAGAATCATAGAATATCAGGGTTGGAAGGGGACCTCAGGAGGTCATCTAGTCCAACCCCCTGCTCAAAAGCAGGACCAATCCCCAATTAAATCATCCCAGCCAGGGCTTTGTCAAGCCTGACCTTAAAAACTTCTAAGGAAGGAGATTCCATCACCTCCCTAGGCAACGCATTCCAGTGTTTCACCACCCTCCTAGTGAAAAAGTTTTTCCTAATATCCAACCTAAACCTCCCCCACTGCAACTTGAGACCATTACTCTTTGTCCTGTCCTCTTCTACCACTGAGAATAGTCTAGAACCATCCTCTCTGGAACCACCTCTCAGGTAGTTGAAAGCAGCTATCAAATCCTTCTCTTCTGCAGACTAAACAATCCCAGTTCCCTCAGCCTCTCCTCATAAGTCATGTGTTCCAGACCCCTAATCATTTTTGTTGCCCTTTGCTGGACTCTTTCCAATTTATCCACATCCTTCTTGTAGTGTGGGGCCCACATATAATTAATAGAAAAATAACACCTATCTGACAAAAGTCAATTGTATTCCCTGGCTATCATGTTATCAAAGGCTATATAATGTAATACATGGCACCTGAGATCATAAATATTAACTGATTAACCTTCACTACAATCCTGTACATTAGATAAAGGTAGGTAAGATATTTTGATAGCCATTTTCCAGATAGGGAGACTGGGGCACAGCAAGCCGGTGTCAATGCCAGGATTAGTAATCAGGTCTCCTGGTTAGCAGCACCAAGCTATAAGAACAAGTCCAAACTCCTACTATAGTTATGAAATATAACTTCGCCAAAAAAATGTACCACACTTTAACCGATGGGACTACCATATACAAACAACTGTATGGTGAAATTAGCGTTAGAATGCACGTTCGAATCTACAACAAGGAATAATAAAAAATTGAGCAAAAAATAGAAAGGAGGTTAAATAAAAGTTATAGAATTAATGGAAGTTGAGAGAAGAACTCTTGTCTCTTTTGCCATTGGTACAATGTTGTTGTGAATGCTGACTGTGATCGGTTCTGTACAATTATATCTGAAGGTACAGATCTCCTTTCAAGGGCTTACATACTAGTATATGCTCAGTCAAAACAGTTAGGACACATTTAGGTGGATGCCAGCATTGGTTGGAAGTGGTGGTGGTGGAAACCTGGAAGGACATTTTTGAAGGCTTTGCAGAATAACTATGTTTGAAGGAGGGATTTGAAGGTGAGAGGTATTGCTGTTTAGTCTTTGAGAGAAGAGTAGGAGCCACCAGGGAAGAAAGTGTGAAAATGAGAGTGGAATAAGAATACAAGCGTTGATAGAAGTAAGTGGAGAATAGGAGAAAACAGAAATGTCTACAGGGGTGGAGTTGTTCAAAGCCTCGACTGTGCACGAGATGCTTCATTGTGATTTAGAAGGCAAGGAGAAGCCAGATAAAGGATGTGGATACTGAGAGTGGAATGCAGAGCAGCTGGAGAGGGTAAGAAGAGTGTTTAATAGCTTTTTTGATAGTCTGGAATGGAGTGAACTGAATAGCAGTGGGTCAAGAAAGGAGGCTACAGTAGCCACTATGAGAGATGATCAAGGGTTTTTAGAACCCTTTGGGATACAGCGGACAGGACAGATGTTAAGGTACTTTAAAGGAAGTACTGACAATATTTGGTGCATGGAGTAGAGAAGAGTTGAATATGCCATTGAAGTTGTGCACTTGGGTGACAGGGAGGGTGGTGAAATTTTCTATTATAATTGAGAAGGGAAGGATGGCAAGGGTTTGGAGGGAAATAATTAAATTTTCACCATGTTGAATATGACTTGGTGGTGAGACAATTAGGATGAGAAGAGAGAAAGAGCATTAAAACAGCTTGACCACAGCTAGAGAAGATATGGATAAAGAAGTGGATTTGAGAGTCATTGGCATAGATATAATTTAAACTATGAGAGCAGATTGAATCACCTAGAGTAGAAAAAAGGAGATTCCCAAGGAAACTTGTAGGGATACCAATAGAGAGCAAGAAGAGGGTGCAGTAGAAGCCATTGAAGGAGAAACTGATTGGTTTTCTTTTGTACATTATGTAAGTAATTTTATGGTATGTATGTTTTGTTGATGACTCTGAATCAAAAGAGCACAATCCTCCTTTCCCCACCCCACAAAAACTGTATATTTTTGCCGCTAGCTAATGGTTCCAAGCATTTAATTTAAGTATTCAGGGTAACTAGGATTCAGAACGCCATAAATCTTAGCAAGTACTTGATTCTTCTCCCTGCTTTTTGCATTCTGAATCTTGAAAGCTTTGTGGGATGACTGGCTGGCTGACCACAACTATATTTGAGATTGAGGGTTAGTAAATTGGCAGTTTTCTTGAACTGGCTTTTTTTTTTTAAACATTACCTTCTTTCAATATGAACATGCAGATAGTGGGCAGTAATTTAGCAAATGAACTGGATGTGTGCATGAGTCTTTTATACCTTGAAAATATCTACACCCAGCCACCTGTTTAAATTATGACCAACCATGTGGAAATTGTTTATTGGTAAGTCTACTCTAGTTTTATGCGTATATTTCACAAAGATTTCAATATTTTTAAGTCATCTGTGATTGTGGGTCCTTGTTTATTTCTCTTTCTTTTTTCAGGTGATAGTGATTATTCTCCAAAGAGTTACTAAACGCCTTTTGCTTTCTGCAAATTCAAATTCAGAATGAACATGTAAATAGATTTGATTCTCAGTAAGAGCTTTAGATGATGGAATGGTAAAGAATCTGCATATCCAGCTGGTATCATGAACAGTATTCCAGGAGCCTGCGGCTCCATAAAATTGGTCACAAAGGGAAAATTCCAAGACTGAAGTTCCCAGTCAGCCAGAGAGGTGATCACTGGCAAGCTACTGCTTCTCCTTGATGCTTTCATCATTAATAAAGCAAGCTGATATCACGAATGTCCTACATAAGCTTTTCATTTACAATTCAAGAATGTAACACAAGAAAACTTTCAGAGTAACATTTTCTTATGATCCTAGAATGAGTTAAATTTTAATTAAATGCAAAAACTTGTTAACAGAATAATGTACAAAAGTCAAGACACCAAAGTGTTATAGTTTTTAGACATTGCACATGTGTCAAGCTTGAAATCTTTACATTGTTAAATGTATACCTAAATGTCTTCTAATTATATTAAGTGGACAAGTAAGATTACTAAAACTTTTTTTATTCCTGATTGTTGTGCATTTTTTCAAGCACTAAATTAACATAATTCTACATTTAATTTCTTTGTTTTAAAAATCATTTAAGGAAAAGGGAAATACAATTTGTGCATGCTTAATAATGATATCACTTAGAGCCTTTGAAGTTTCCACCTTGTTGAGCTGAATGGGGTGAGGAATGGTTGTGGTCACGGCTTGTCTGCTGTTGCTGTTTGTCTAGAAACAGTTTTCTGCAATTTTGGGTTAACAGAGGAGTAACATATCAGTTTACATTATGATATCTATGTCTTAGCAATATAGAAAATTTGATTTAAAAATCAGCCCTTCAAATTATAAAACCCAGTAAAATTTGTGAAGAAACCTTAAAACCAAGGGACCTTAAATTTTTTTTAGTTTTCTTGCAGTACTTTTATGTATGTGTGTCGGGGGAGGGTTGTTATGGGGAGTGCAGTTGTTGCTTCTGTTTCAATGGAACATTGACCGTTTTCCCACTGCACATTATCATACCTTGAAATTACCAGCCTCTGTGTCTAGCAGACTCCATGTGGAGAAGAATAGTGTTGCCAGGCATCCAGTTTTCAACCAGAATGCCCAGTCAAAAAGGGATCCTGGCAGCTCCAGTCAACACCACTGACTGGGCCATTAAAAGTCCAGTTGGTGGCGCAGCGGGGCTAAGGCAGACTCCTTGCTGCCCTGGCTCTATGCAGCTCTTGCAAGCAGCCAGCATGTCCGTAGACCCTAGGTGCAGGGGTGGCCTTGGCGGTTCTGCGCGCTGTCCGGGCCCCAGCACTGGCTCCGCAGCTCCCATTGGGCAATGGTGTTCAGTTTTCTGCTGTCAGGAAGTTGGAAACCCTAGAGGTGAAGGAGGGAGAATTTGTGGTTCTTCCAGCCACTGTGAAGCTATCTGTCCTCACTTTGGGGCCCAGGGTGCTGGAACTCTTCCTTACTTCCTTGAAATAGCCTGAGGGTCTCCAGGATTCCCAGCCTACTATATTAAGACCGGGTTTATATAAAATCAAGTCATTCTGTAGCTCATACGCACAGTCATTCTTGTGGGGGAGGAGGGAGGGTTATTGCTCTTTTGGGAGTTGCTAAGCCAAGAACAGCCCTCTTCCCTCAATACGGCCGTAATGTGCTCTCTCATTTTATTCTCTTATGCTCAGCCAAATAAACACCAGTATCATAAATATCTCTGCAGGTTCATGTCACTTCAATGGGAAAATCATCTCCCTTACTGATAGCCAGTTCACTCTTGATCATCTGCTAATGGTGAGAAGGAGGAATTGAACTTCTGATGAATACTGCAGAATGTTCATGAAGCTGTGTGTGCTCCAGATGAGAGAGGATAGCTACTTCCTTGGCCATAGCTGTGTACAACATCAGTTTGAGATGCCTTTCAATTCAGGACATTGAAATGACTCATAATATGGAAGAATGGACCTCTAAGGCTGCGAAGCATGAGCTCTAGCAAGAAGAAAAACTCAGTCAAAAGGTGGAAGGTTTCTGCATCCGTAGTTTCCTTTCCTCTCCTCCATTGACTCTATGATGAACTTGTTTTCTTGAGATGCAGTTTTACTACTGTGGCTAGATACATAAGAGATTTCCAGTGACTGAGGATGTATCGCATTATTACTTCTCTCAATCCAAAGAAGTTGCTCTATCAGCAAAAAATGGAATTGGCTGAGGTGGGAAAATCAGATTAAATAAAAACCCTCAATATAATTCGGTGTGATAATCATATAGTTTTGTTTTATTTCTACAGTTTTACACTATGTTGCAATCTGAATGCAGTGGGTGCAGCAAACTTGCTTCTATAGTTTGAGGACCAGTAGGACCTACAGAGAGAGAGAGAGCTACTGATGAAGTGAAGAACTGAAAAATAATAGTATGTGGTTTTCTCTTGTCCTTACTCTTCTGGATGATTTCTAGCAAGGGAGGCTAGACTTGTAAACAAAAAAGATGCATTGTTGTTGATATTTCCAAGTTATAGTCACCATTTATTCTGTAACAGAAGCTAAGTATTACTACTAATTACTAGGTGCATAGTGTGTTTTCTTAAATGCAAGAGTAATTTTAAATATAATTTGTATTTTGTTGCTGCTTTATGCACGTTACTTTATAGAATATTTAAAGACATTAAACATTTGCATTTTTACACATCTACACATAGAATCCTAGAATATCAGGGTTGGAAGGGACCTCAGGAGGTCATCTAGTCCAACCCCCTGCTCAAAGCAGGACCGATCCCTAATTAAATCATCCCAGCCAGGGCTTTGTCAAGCCTGACCTTAAAAACTTCTAAGGAAGGAGATTCCACCACATCCCTAGGTAACGCATTCCAGTGTTTCACCACCCTCCTAGTGAAAAAGTTTTTCCTAATATCCAACCTAAACCTCCCCCACTGCAACTTGAGACCATTACTCCTTGTTCTGTCATCAGCTACCACTGAGAACAGTCTAGATCCATCCTCTTTGGAACCCCCTTTCAGGTAGTTGAAAGCAGCTATCAAATCCCCCCTCATTCTTCTCTTCCGTAGACTAAACATCCCCAGTTCCCTCAGCCTCTCCTCATAAGTCATGTGTTCCAGTCCCCTAATCATTTTTGTTGCCCTCCGCTGGACTCTTTCCACTTTTACCACATCCTTCTTGTAATGTGGGGCCCAAAACTGGACACAGTACTCCAGATGAAGCCTCACCAATGTCGAATAGAGGGGAACAATCACGTCCCTCGATCTGCTGGCAATGCCCCTACTTATACATCCCAAAATGCCATTGGCCTTCTTGGCAACAAGGGCGCACTGTTGACTCATATCCAGCTTCTCGTCCACTGTCACCCTAGGTCCTTTTCTGCAGAACTGCTGCCTAGCCATTCGATCCCTAGTCTGTAGGGGTGCATGGGATTCTTCCGTCCTAAGTGCAGGACTCTGCACTTGTCCTTGTTGAACCTCATCAAATTTCTTTTGGCCCAATCCTCCAATTTGTCTAGGTCCCTCTGTATCCTATCCCTACCCTCCAGTGTATCTACCTCTCCTCCCAGTTTGGTGTCATCTGCAAACTTGCTGAGGGTGCAATCCACATCATCCTCCAGATCATTTATGAAGATATTGAACAAAACCGGCCCCAGGACTGACACTTGGGGCACTCCACTTGATACCGGCTGCCAACTAGACATGGAGCCATTGATCACTACCCGTTGAGCCCGACAATCTAGCCAGCTTTCTATCCACCTTATAGTCCATTCATCTAGCCCATACTTCTTTAACTTGCTAGCAAGAATACTGTGGGAGACAGTGTCAAAAGCTTTGCTAAAGTCAAGGAACAACACGTCCACTGCTTACCCTTCATCCACAGAGCCAGTTATCTCATCAGAGAAGGCAATTAGATTAGTCAGGCATGCTTGGCTCATTGATCAAAATACACAGGAGAATAACAACATAGACACATGAATGGATATAACTTTATTAACTTAAATATTCAAATGTTGTGGAGAGGCTGATCCCTGCCTTAACTACTAGGCATTAATTGAGTCCAATAGAAGTATGAATGGTCTCAAAGCCAAGGAATGAAGACTTTCTCCCTTAGCTAAATCACTGGTAGCCCATTGCTGAGTATCACCACCTTCCCCTGGAAAAGGTAACACAGCTAACCAAGGGTTGAGAACTGGCTCTTGTAATCAAACCCCCAGTGCTCAATTCATAGTTCAGCCCAGTGATTAAATCCACCACTCTGTCTCCAGGAGGGGAAACAAACATTCAGGTGAGGCGCTCAGTCTGGGAGGATTTAAGACCTCCTCTTATTCCACAGGCTAAATGGGTCCACCAGTCTCTCCTGGGGCCTGTGCTCAGGTTTACACCAGGTGCTGACCCCTTGAAGCCTCTGATCCTCACTGAGCACTCGCTGCAAGTTGTTTTCATTTATTACCTCCTCTTCTTTATTTTTTTAAATGTACTCTGTTTTATCCTTATTCTGTACCAGTATGTTCCAGGATGTTATGAATAAGGTGGAAAAAAACCCACTGGATACCTTGTCAGTCTTGCCCCAAGGGGAAAATTCTTTCCTGATCCCTAAAAGATTAGAGGCACAGCAAACCTGGAAACTCAGCTATGACAGCTACACTGCCTGTGGGTAGGGTGGGTAGACAGGCAACTTTCAGCACCAAAATGCTTAAACACACAGGGAGGCGAGGTTTGCTGGAACCAGTCTGCTTTCTCCCACTCCTGAATTGGCCAATGGGCAGCTTGGGGATGTGGAGCTGTGCTCCACTCTCTCCACCATGCACATGAACTCTGCATGAGTTCGGGGAGTGGAGAGGGGACAAAGATGAGTGCACACCCATCCTCCAACCAGGACCCTATAGGTTGGCCATTCCCCTGTTAGTCAAATTAAACTCCCCCGGCTAACATGACGAGAGATTCTCAGTGGGCTCAGTTTTATGCCCATTGCTGTTTAGCATGTATCGCTACAAATACTAATTAAGGATCATGTTCTAACTGGACAGTTATAGGCAGAGCTTACCTTTGTGGTCCCATAAAACCAGCGGCCATGGGATCCCCAGTATTTTGGTGGTCCAAGTAATATAAAAGAATCTCAGCTTTCATTTTATTAAAAGTAAGTTTCTTGGCTTTTTCCTTGTGAAGTAGCCTTGAAAATATAAACCAATAGCGAGGATTTTCTGAGGCTCACAGGTTACTCACCATTCCCTCACAGCCACCAAGGACTGGGTTTTGGGATTCAAGGGAATCCTAACCATAGGTCTCTTGCTATTTTTAGGAAGATCCCAGAATCAAGTTGATAGTTCCAGGTGACAGTGCTGCCCAAACTGCTGTTAACTCACTGGGGTGCCTGGGGCTGAATCAGAACCCCTGCTGGGCATCCAGTGTGATCTCTAGCCAAACAATGGGAAGCTTAATAACATGAAAAGCAGAATCAGGACTACACCAAGGTCTTGGGAGGCCCAGGGCAACATCTGAAACTGAGGCCTCCTGCAGTCCCAGACCTGTAAGTTTGTTGTTCTCCCCACAGGCGTAAAGAGATTCTGCCTTGTCTGTCTGTGGGGGGGAGGAGGGTGCTACCATCTCGCCCTGAAGTCCAGTCTCGCTGCCGGTGGGAGAGGTATCTGTAATCCAGGCTCTCAGCATGGCAAGTAACCTCAGGCCTGGGCAATGATGCGAATGGCAGCAACAGTGGTTTCTGAGCCCAGTTGGGCAGGGGAGTCTGTCCAGGTTGTAATGCCTCCCACTCAAATTTGGCCCAACCACTCCTCTAGTTTTGGGGGTCCTGTCAAACAGGGAATGTAGGGCAAACTGCCCCTTTTGCCCCTGCCTTTGTGCAGCCCTGAGCACAATAGTCAAGGTCACTGAGCAAGGAACTATTCCCAGCTCTGACAATAACTCCCTTTGTGGCTCTTGTTAAGACACAGAGATGAAAATTTTCATCAGGCACCTGTAGATGCTTAATTTATACACCCATGTTTTAAAATGTTGGTCTCAACCTATTTGTGCCTTTGTTTCTACATCTGTAAAATGGGGGTGATAATGCTTACCTACCTCAATGAGGAGTTTTGACAACTATGTAAAGTGATCTAAATCCTAAAACTTACAGATTGCAGGCAGACCCCTCCAGAGCCTGTGCGCCTAATGAGAGTGGATAAGGAGAAAGGCACAGTTAAGAAAGGCCTGTTAAGTTTGGAATCATTTAATTAAACCTCTCCAAAATCATCAGGCTAACAATAGTGAGAAGTCATGGACAGGAATCCTTTTTCAAACAAACCAGATGTTTTGCAGGCCCTCCTGAAAATGCAAAAGTGAGACAACGTTGAGTATTGTCTGTGTTAGATCTTGATTCTTGTCAATCTGGTTACATATCTGGTTATGGGATGGAGTCTGCCTTAGTGGCAATTATAGATGATATCATCATGAATGAATATCAGATGTTCATGATGATATTGTTAGATCTATCAGTTGCCTTTGATGCCTTTGATCACGTGAGTGTTTGTTTGACTTGCCAGCAAATCATAGTAGAAGTCAATGCTGCTGCCCTTAGGTGGGTTTGTTCATATCTCTGAGAGATCCCAGAGGGCTGTTTTGGTTACTCATTGTTTTGCTCCAAGTGCGCTCTCATGTGGGATTCAGAAGGGTTTCATGTCCACCTCCCTCTTATGTAGTATAGCAGTGCTGTCCCTCTAGTCTGGCTTTGGGCTAGCTGCTTCCACAGTTGCTCTGTCTCTCAGATTGGCACTCCTGAACTTCCAGCCTGCTTTGGATGCTGTGGTGATTTGCTGCAGTAACTTTGCCCTTGGGTTAAATAATAAAAGTTAAAGTCCATCCCTTCCAGGGTACCCATGTCCAAACAAGAGTCTTCCACCCTAGCCTGAAGCTGGGCAAACCCTTCCTGAGTGTCTTTTCTTCAGATTTCACTCTTCGGCACCCCCACCCCCACCCCGGGCTCATCTCTCAGTCCTCAGGCTCTCCTGGGCTCCCTTCAATCTCTCCCTGATCTCTACCAAGCACCAACTCTCAGGGCTTCCTACCTGGAGTCTCTCTTCTCTTTTTGGTTCTCCGTGGGCTTCTGTCTTGTGCATGGTTTAGTCACATGACCTGCCTGTCATTTTTTTCCATGTGTGAAGATGAACTAAGTGTGTCACAGGTGGATCTGGACCCATCTCCCCTGCAAGGGCCAGTCACCTTGTGACATATAGAACTGTAGGAATTGCTTTACCAGATCAGACCTGTGGTCCATCTAGAACAGTAGGAATTGCTTTACCAGATCAGACCTGTGGTCCATCTAGAACAGTGTCCTATTGCTGGCCAGTGCCAGATGCTTTAGAAATAAGTGCAAGAAATACTGCAGTAAGCAGTTATGGCATAGCCTACATATATAGAAAATG